CGCGTTTAAAGGGCTGCGGCTGTCACGTCGGCCGGGCCCGACCTGAAGAAACAGGCCTGTCCGAAGGAAGAGACGTGGACTCGGAAAGGGAGAGCCGGCCCCGGAGTCGGCGGGAGGAAGCCCCGCCCTGCGCCTCCCGCCGAACTTTTCGGCCCCGGCGCTGACTCAGTCCCCGGCGAGCCGCGGTCGGTCGGCCCGGGCGCCCCGGCGCGAAGGTCCGGAGCTGGGGCAGCCGAGGGAGGGAAAGCCGCTAGGCCCACGGAAAGTTAAGTGAACCGAGGTTTTTAAAGTTCCGGTGGAATTATTTGTGCCTATATGCGCTGTTAAGATTTTGTTTAAAAGTTCTTCTTAGTGACCCGTGGGATTTTTTTTTTCATTGATTTTATTGCTACACTTTTGACATACAAAATGATCACTTTCATCATAGGGAATTTGTACCTGTAAATAATATATCTTAATTGTTTTTTTCCCCCATACCGATGAATTTTATGCCTTCAGTTTGACAATTAAGTCATGAACCCTTGCAAAATGGAATCCAAGTTCAGGGATTGCGCAAGACATGCGGAGGGTGAGGAAGGTGGGGAGGGGAAGGAGATGAAGAAAGAATGTGTTATGGGGGTGTACCAACTCCTCAAGGAATATAATCATGTCCTGCAAACACTGATAAAAAAAAACACTATAAAAGCAAGGGATTTCACTGGGCATGGTGGCGCACGCCTGTAATTCCCAGCATTAGGAAGGCTGAGGCAGGACGATCATTGAGAGTTCAAAACCAGCCTGGGCTACAAAGTGAGCTCAAGGCCAGCCTGACCTATGTAGTGAGACCCTGACTCAAAAAGATAAAAAGAGAGATTTCATAATCACTGTACTTTAAGGTAGGGCTGTAACAAATTAGGTATGAGGTAAAGGATGCTTTTCTTTTTTATATAACAGAAAGAAATTAAGTTCCTAAGTAAACTGAAACTGGATTTATCCCTAAAAGCATAAATGTCTAAAGGCCTAACTAGAGTTTAATTGAGACAAATACAAGCTACTCAACACTAAAAACATTAAGTCTTTTCGTTTTGTTACAGAAATTTACACTATCTTTGTAAAGAAGGCAAATGATTCAGAACATCATAAAATTAAAAATCAAAAACTCCTTCCCGACCCCACCATCTCACTCTGCAGAAAAATTATGGAAAATAGAATCGAATATGCATCCTCCTTAACTTTTCTCTGCACATGTAAACGCAGCCCTCTAAACAATATGATGGGTTAGGGTTTCCTTATAGTTGTTCCCATTCCCAGGCTAGGGACGTAGCTCAGTGGTAAAGTGCTTAGCGGGCATAGGGAGGAGGGCAGTCCTGGGCACCAGGGAGAAAAAAATCAGTGATCAATATATAAATAAATAAATAACCTCTTTATCAAACAAAAAATCCGCTACCAACACCCTTTTTGTTAATGAGATAATAGTACATACCATAAACATGAATGTACTTAACAGTATGTACTATTTATATTTTGAGATGAGTTCTCTTAGTAATACAGTGTATGTACTGTTTGTTATTTTGAGCAGGTTTTCCCCATGTTAACCAGGGGGCCTCAGGACTTCTGGGCCCAAGTGATCCTCCTGCCTCGGCCACCTCGGTAGCTGAAAACTGCAGGTGTACCCCACACCACAGGACCCAGTTACTCTCTTGAAGCATGCTTCTGCTCTTTTGTTGGATGTTGCTTCCAAAATAACTATGCAGTCAACTATTTACAGACAGTACAGAAGTGTACAAGGTGAAATCTCATCATATGCACCATTCCATTATCCAACTCCTCAGAAATAATCCCTGTCAACAGTTTGGTACGTGCAGCTTTTCCTGTTGCTGTGACTATATGAAGTGGTTGCTCCAAACACTGATTAGGGAAACTGACTTTCCATAACTTCAAAAGCCATCCAAAATAAGTACACATTCTTTGTCTTTTTGAGACAGGGTCTCGCTCTGCAGTTCAGGCTGTCCTTGAGCTCACTTTGTAACCCAAGCTGGTCTCGAACTTGCAATGATCATTGGGCCTCCGCCTCCTGAGTGCTTGGATTACAGGTGTGTGCCACCACGCCCAGCTATAAGTACACATTCTAAGTAAAAAAAAAAAAAAAAATCCCAAAAACGTTAGGAGGCTAATCATGCCTAAGTTAACTAATCAAAAAAGCAGTAAGTTTAGCCAGGCGTGGCACATACCTGTAATCCAAGCATTCGAGGCTGAGATAGGATTGCTGTGAGTTCAAGGCCAGTCTGGACTACATAGGGAGATCCTGTCTCACAAAAAAAATAATTTGTTAGGCAATTTGTAACATTCAGACAAGACTAGTCAACAACTCCTTTGATCCGCAGATGTAGAAATTACAAGCTTTTATGTGTGCAAGTCATGTGTATGTGTGTACACAGATTTTTGTTTTGGTAAAAAGAGCCCCACTATGTATGTTATTATGTAACCTTGAACTTTACACCAAATCAAAAGATGCTCTCCCATATCATTAACAATAATAATAGCTAATACAATACTAATTGTGCCAAACACCATTCTAAATGTTTTACTTTGATAAATTTGTATAATCCTGTCAGCAATCTTAGAAAGTGGTAGGGTGTGTGTCTGTGTGTGTGTGTGTGTGTGTCTTTGGTGCTAGGGATGGAACCCAGGTTCTGCACCCTTTACCACTGAGCAGGCCCTCTACTACTGAGCTATATCCCAGCCCCAAAGTCTATATTCTTAACCACTGACTGGGATGTACAGAAATACTTCATTTTTTCAAATGTCTGCCTAACCATTTCCCCTGTTGGGCATTTAGGTTGTTTACAATGTTTTGCTGTTGCAAGCAATGCTACTATAAAACATTTGTATACATACATCATTTTGTAATCATATATTTCTATATGTAGATACAAAACTGTAAGGTGAAAAAAGATTTTTTTTCCCCAGTGCTGAGGATGAAACCCAAGGCCTTGCATGTGCTAGGCAAATACTATATATACTACTGATCTACATCTCCAGCCAGGATGTCTTTAACATCCCATTACACATACTAGTTCACAAGCAGCTTCTGATCACTACTGTTTAAAGCTCTAACATTTCTTAAAACTGCTTTTCCCTTCAAGCTCTGTATATCTTTTCTATTACGCAGGCTCATATTTGTATGAAGTACTTCAGTTAAGAATAGCAGCCTTGAGATAACTCCTGTCCAGAATCATTTAAATTTTCAAAAACATAAATAAGGGCTAGGGCTGTAGCTTAGTGGTACAGTGCTTGCCTAGCATGCCTGAGGCCCTGGGTTCAATGCCCAACACCACCAAAAAGGGGGGAGGACAGAAAACATAAAGAACTGGGGGGCAGGGGCAGGTGGGGGACCAGAGAAAAGGCTACTGAGAAACTAAAATAAATAACACAAAATCCAAGAACCAAGAAATTCTGTCTTTTGTTCCTTAGAAAACTCTCTCTCCCATTTAGTCCCTAGCCATGTTAAATGCATACATACTTCTAATAAGGGAAACCATCTTATTTCCAGAGATAAAGTAGAATATTAGAAAGTGCTCTTCTGGGATGGTGCATGGATGGTAGAAGTGCCATTAGACACTGAAAAAAAACACAGAAAAATTGTGAGATGAGACTAGAAGAACTCAAATGCTAAGCATTACTGTATTAAGGTATTTATAAAGTATGAAAAAAAGCTAGGCATGATGGCCCACACCTATAATCCCAGCACTCAGGAGGCTGAGGCAGGAGGATTGCTGCAAGTTCAAGTCTAGCCTGAACTACATAGCAAAACAGTGTCTCAAAAAGACCAAAAAAAGTATAAAATGTACCACTCCAGGGATCTTGAAATTATTTCACTGTTTATGATGCTAATCTGACATCAAGAAATAATAAAATGTTAGCTGTGTATGGTAGTGAATCCCTATAATCCCAGCGCTTGGGAGGCTGAAACAGGATTGCCAAGAGTCCAAGACCACCCTGGGCTACATGATGAGTTCAAGTCTAGCCTGAAATACATAGTGAGACCCTGTTTCAAAATAAATAAAATAAAAATATAAAATAAAATGTCTAGTATATAAGTATCAAAAACAAAGTAAGCCAGACACAACAGAGCATGTAGTAACTGTGTAGCTGCAGCTACTCAGGAGGATCACTTATACCTAGGAATATGAAGCCAGCCTGGACAGTTGAAGAGATCCTGTCCTTAAAAATAATAAAATATTGCCCAGGTGTTGTAGTACACACTTGTGGTACTGCAATGGCAATCAGAAACACTGAAATACACCCAAGATTTGGAGGCAGATTTATTTTTTTACCTGGATGTGCACTGATTGGCATCATTCCCAGGATATCAGGTCCTGATCCCTGGTGGTCTAGGGCTTAGATGGGATAAGCCAGCAGGAAGTACGGAGGCAGAATGGCTTGTCAATTGGGATCGATTTATACAATGTGCATCATAGTGACCAGCTGTGCATCACAGTGAGCGGCCATTTCTAAGAGACCAGAAGCAGCCAGAATTGGAACAGGAATTATTACCTGGGCAACTAAGAAACTGACGTATAGTGGCTGGGGGGGTGGGCATTTTCTGTTACAGTACCACCTTTTGTAGTACACACCTAGCTACTCAGAAGGCTGAGGAAGGAGAACTCCAAGTGTGAGGCCAGTCAGACCAATTCATTGAAACCAGGTAGACAGACAGACAGATAGGGCTGGGGCTGCACCTGAGTGATAGAGTGCTTGCCTAGCATGTGTGAGTGGCTGGCTGCAATCTTTAGTCATGCAAAAATTTAAATGAATGAACAATAAATTAATTAAAAATAAAGTGCTCTGGGTTTGATCCCCAGCCCCACAAAGAAATCATTACATATATTTTAAGTGTTTTCTTTATTGATTATAATGAACAACTTCAGGTGCCTAAAATGATTAACCTTCAATTATCTAGAAAATTAAATTATCTGAAATGATTTAATTGCCTAAAGAGTTCCAGACTGGCCAAAATTGCATATAAATTAGTCTCATATGGTTTTGCTTCCTCAAAAAGTCAGGGACTAAATCCAACTTGCCCACAAAGTTCACATGTAAGCTCTTCACCTCTATTTTTCTTATTCCATTTATTTATTTATTTATTTTTTTTTTTTTTTGGTTTTTTTCCGGTACCGGGAACCGAACTCACGACCTTGCACTTGCCAGGCAGGCGCTTTTGCCGCTGAGCTAAATCCACAGCCCCTATTTATTAAAACATATATTTCACTACCCTTAAAAACATGTTATGGCTCAAAACATTCCACTTCAGAAACTGCCACTCACAAACACCAGTGTCTGTGATACAAAAACCATCCACTCTCTCACTCTAATCCTTGTGACTTTAGAATCCTTTTTAAGATTCTTGTCATCTCAAATGTTGCTGCCGCTTTCTGGCCCATGTGTCCCCCACTTGATATTACTTGCTCTGATCTTAGCTTAAACCCAAGAGATAGCAATGAATTCTTTGTAGAGCACCCTCAATTTCTTTCCCTTGTTTTATTGTACTCCAGACATTGTCAATCAATTCCCAATCTGGACAAGTCC